GTCGTGGACGATGACGAGGACGAATTTGCTCCTGAAACGGATCAGGACTCTTCGATCCGCACATTCACCGCCGCTCGGCTCGAGTCTAGCTCAGGAGTCAATGGTTCGATTCGAAACACTAAGCTTAAGACGGAGAGCTCTATGGTGAAGCTTGAGAGCTCTGATGGTGGAAAAGATGGTAGACCATCTGTGGTTGGGACTGGAACCGTTGGAGGCAGCTCGATTTCAGGGATGGTGCCGAAGGATGAGTCTGTTAAGATATTGACTGAGAATTTGCAGACTAGTGGAGCTTACATTGCGAGAGAAGAGACTTTGAAAAGAGAGGTTATCACTGGATCATGTCTTTACACTACATGAATATTGATTGATCTATGCCATTGTATTTTCTGTACTTAACGCCATATCTTTCTTTAGGAGCAAGCTGGACGACTCAAGTTTGTCTGTTACTCTAATGATTGTGTTGATGAGCATATGATGTGGTATTTGTTTCTCTCACAGAATTTCAGCTTCGCATTCAGCTATGACGTTTTCGTTCGAAGTTCTGTATGGAGGAATTGTCTGATGATTTGTTGAATGTTTTCCAGCTTGGTTGGGTTGAAGAACATATTTGCAAGACAGTTACCTAATATGCCCAAGGAGTACATTGTTCGCCTTCTGATGGATAGGTAAACATGCTAAAACTGAAGTGAAACATGAATTTTCTTTTGGTTTGAATACAATTCTTCACGTTTTTGCTCGTTTGTAGTTTTTCTCTTGATTGTAAGAGCCTAAGAGGTGAGTGTTAGTTGTAGTTTATTAAGATGACCAAAATGTGCTTGCAAAAAAAAAAGAGCAATTAGGTAGAAACATTTTCGAGAATAGATGCAATTGTTAGAATATAGTAATGACCAATTTCCAATGTTTAATATAAATGTTAGATAATGCATGTAGTTTATACAAGTTCAATGTCTGAATACATGATGAACATGCTCCTCAACTTGTTTTTCAACTATCCCAATGTAAGCATTCTGATATCTGCAACTGATGTTTATACACAGGAAACATAAGTCTGTTATGGTCCTAAGAAGAAATCTAGTTGTAGGTGGTATCACGTATCGTCCATACCACAGGTAATGTCAATTTCACATAATGATTCCCGTCTTTTTTTCTACTAGTGATGATTTTCTCCGAACTATATATATTAATAAGCTCCATACTTTAAAACTGAAAGCTAGTAGTATATTGACTTAGTATCTTATCAGCATGCCTAGTTTGCTTTTCCAATATAATATTTCTATGAATGTCTAATGTCATAAAGAACGTGCTTATTAACTCTGTTTTCCTGTGATTCAGCCAGAAGTTTGGGGAAATAGCATTTTGTGCAATCACTGCAGATGAACAAGTCAAAGGTTATGGTACCAGATTGATGAACCACTTGAAACAACATGCACGTGATGTTGATGGATTGACGCATTTTCTTACTTATGCTGACAACAATGCTGTTGGCTATTTTGTCAAGCAGGTTGGTGTATATCATATCCTCTGCAATATTTGGCTCTATATTTAAACCTGAAAATAGACTTCAACCAACTTGTAGTAAATTTCTTAACCAGGGAATTGAACACTATATTGCATGCAGTATATATTCTTTATGTTATGGTAGCAATTAGGGAATTAGTTACCTGAGTTGAGCCTAGTCTATTAGAAATAGATGCCATCTCAATCCTTGTTCCTCTTGGTAAAGAATAATAATATGATTAATATGGTTGTCAGTGGCCTTCATGTGCTGTACAACGTTTCCTTAAATTTGAGACCAACATGATAAAACATAAAAGGCAAGGTCGTCTTGCTAAAATGATCTGTTGATTTGGTTGAAAATATTTTAATGTAAAAGTGGCTTCTCTTGAAGTCTACCAGCTCTAGTCAGAACGCTGATATAATTCTGACACTCATCTAACATGTTCTAAATAGTAAATACTGTCATTTTTTGCCTATGGGAATTTTTTATTGCTCTGCTCTTATCGTATATTTTTATTTATTTAGTTCTTTGGTTGATTAGTTGGATTTGTTTGCTCATCGAGAGTTGTGAGCGGCTCTGCTTACTTGTCACATATTAGTCCTTATATAAAACACAAGAACCTATAAGGAATCTTTGCATCCTTTATCTTTGTGTTCACAATCCGTTGCATGATGATTTTGGGTTTCTAGTTCCAAAATATTCCTTTTGTTAGAACAAATTCTAAATCATTTGTCCTACTTAGTCTCTGTTCATATCCTCTAGATAGACATTATTGCTCATTTATATATAACTCAATGTATCTTCCAAAGTTTTGTGTTTCCACACTTTGTTATCAAGTCTACTTTCTCGGGTAGTTAAGTTCAGTAATTTTGGTTTTTTTTCCTTATAATTGTACACTAAGTTGATATGATACGTCAATTTTCCTCTGCAGGGTTTTACGAAAGAGATTTACTTGGAGAAAGATGTATGGCATGGGTATGTAAACTATGTAACTCTTAAGTTCAAACTGCTCATTATCGTACCCAGCTTCTGTGCTTTATATGATTTATGTCTGACTGGAATATTTGTGGGCTTCGTTAAGCTCACAAACCTTAAAATAAAAGCATTCTGTTTCTTAGCTGATATCTATCAGAGAGCTTCTGGATTATGTGCCCCAAAGCTTTCCAAATTTTGGCTTAGCATTCTCTTTCTACATCTTTAAACCTATTCTTGCAAATAAAAGCTTGGTACTTTCCTAGGTTCATTAAAGACTATGATGGTGGCCTCCTTATGGAATGCAAAATTGATCCAAAGCTTCCATATACAGATTTGTCAAGCATGATTCGCCAGCAAAGAAAGGTAAGCCATTGAGTATACTTTAATCATGCTGAAATATTCTCTTGAGCAGGGTTCTTCAGTTTTTGAAGCTGTTTATTTACTTTCTATACTTTCACTATTTAGCTCTTAACTTTATGGATGATTCTGATAAGATTTAAGAATAGAAGAATTAGAGACCCTAGGACTCAATTATTGAGAGTTCCTCTCCTCTCCGGAGGAAGGATTAGTTGATGGGAATTACTGTCTTCCCCTATAAGCCCAACAGCCCCAAAAGCTATCTGCTTGTTCTTCATAGACTAAGAGAGCAGGGTAACCACACACCACATAAAAAACCGTAAACAGCTTAAAAACAATCATTACTATCTTATTAAATTATAAAAAGCTTTGGTGCCTCAAGACCATCAGATTCTGATCCCCGGTTTTCTTTTATAATGTCAGGCAATTGATGAAAGGATAAGAGAGTTATCAAATTGTCAGAATGTGTATCCAGGACTTGAATTTCTAAAGGTAAACATCAATGGTTTCATATCTCTTGTGACTATTATGCATGTCACAGCAAAAAAAACAATGTTTCCAGTAGGGATTCCTAAAAACATTCCTATAAATGTGATGATTTGTGCAGAAAGAAGCTGGGATTCCTAGAAATATTATCAAAGTTGAGGATATACCTGGCTTAAGTAAGTCATGATTCTACTCCATGGTTTAATTGCAGTTTGTTACTCAATAATTTGCTAATGGTCAACTATTGCAGGAGAAGCGGGTTGGACCCCAGATCAGTGGGGGCATACGCGTTTCAAATTATTCAATTGTTCTGCAGATACTGTGACAAATCAAAAACATTTGAATGCACTTATGCGTGCGCTTTTAAAGGTTGTTATAAGTTTTCTTCCTTTCAATCCTTTTGTCATTATATCCTATTACATTAATATGCCATTGCAATTACATAACCCTTTAGTTTGACAAGCTGAAATAATTGCAACAGACAATGCAAGACCATGCTGATGCTTGGCCTTTCAAAGAGCCAGTTGATGCTCGCGATGTCCCTGATTACTATGACATCATTAAAGATCCCATTGGTAAGAATATATAGCTAATATATGAGTTTCGGTATTGAGTTTCCTAGCAAAATCTGCTCCCAGATTAAACCCTAAATTATCATGGCACTTGACTTGAACCATTTTGTTATCCAATTTTTCCTGTCCCTTGAAGCATTACAGTGTAACGTAGGAAATAGGAATATGCAACTAGTGAAGAGATGCAACTAGGATGAACAACTTCGTAAAGTAGGAGAAAGACTTGTTTATTCTGTTCATGTAATAGAGTTGATTGTAGTTTCCTGGCTTCCAGAATATGCTCTTTTTAAGTGAAAAATGTTTTCATTATGGTTAACCAAAATGGTATGGACACAGATCTGAAGACAATTGCAAAGAGAGTAGAGTCGGAACTGTACTATGTAACGCTTGATATGTTTGTCGCTGATGCGAGACGGATGTTTAACAATTGTAGAACTTACAACTCCCCGGATACAATTTATTACAAATGTGCAACCAGGTAGATACTTCTTCCCCCCTTTTTTTCCTTCTCTTCTGATTCTGATAATGAATATGTGCATTTAATTTGTTTTTGTTCTCTGGAAAGGTTGGAAACTCACTTCCATAGCAAAGTACAAGCAGGTCTCCAGTCTGGCGCTAAATCTCAATAAAGGAAAGTGACAAAATGATATTTATGCTAATTTTATTAATGTTTTCATTTTTTTAGATACTCTTATAACCCTTAGGTCCGCTCGATTGTAATTTGTGTATCAATGTATGTATATTCATATTTAAATACGAATCTTTTAGGAATATAAACATAAATGGAGCCCTTTGCTTTTGAGTATTGTTGATCCAGACTTGGAACATCCTCGCCAAGTTTCTCATATTTGCGTTGGTGCAATGTCTTTTTTCTCTCTGAGATCTCAAATGTTTTTTTTTGTTGGCATTTTCAACGTTGATTGCGTTAGAAACGTTAGCTTTTGTGACTACCAAAAGGCAAAAACCAAGTGGTCATGTTCCAATTATTTTCAATCATATATAATTGGGGGTAAATTACCCTTACAATAACATCGTCGCAAAGTCGCAAAGTCAATAAAAAAAGCGAGGATAGTTACCTCAAACATCACAAAACCAATGACTCAAGCTTGTGGTTAATTCTTGTGATTCCAAGGGGGCATGGTTTCATACAGATGAGAATCAGGAGCAAATGAATTCTGCATGCCTTCACGGTTCACTTGTCCAGGCAAGATATCCGCTCTCTCTACTACTCTCTGATTCGGTGCTAGACCAGCGGAACTTGGGATTGCCGCTTTCAAGATGTTGTTAGAGTTTGGCGGAATTCTAGAGGAATCGCTCAGTGTGTTGTTGAATGGTATGCCCATAATTGGTCTTGCCCAATGCAAAGGGTTCACTCCTGTTACTCTTTTCACCGTTTCTTCTGCCATCTTAACCTGCACATGAATGCAATAAACTTAGTTGATAAAGAAGATTGGGTGTTGAAAAATCTTAACATTCACGAGTCACAAGGATTATTGA